ACACACAGGATACACACAGGATACACACAGGTTACACACAGGATACACACAGGTTAATATTGTACGTGTTGGAGGTTAAAATGTTGATGCTCTATGTTTTGTGCTGACTGGTTTTCCTCAGCTCGTTCACTTCCTGTTTAGAGAAATGGCCAACAGCCAACAAGCTGAATGGTGATGCTCGTTAATGAAAGATGACTTTAGCTGGTTGATCTATTTATCTTCAGCTTCATTCAGTCCTCTGTGGCCCAACTACCAGAGGACCACCATCTGTCTCTCTCTTTGAAACAAACGTTTACAACAAGCTACAATAGTTAGCATGTTAGCATAACACAGCTAACTGCAGGCTCGTTAATAAGCTAATAACTAGCAAATTAAATAACTCAACATAAATAATGCTATTTAATATTAAATAAAATGTGTTTTAAAACGATCCTACAATTTAAAACTCTTAGATAAGATGTGAGTTCTCTGTACAACAGTCATGACTGACAGCAGTTATTGTTTTTTCTTCATGTTCCTCCAGTTTCATGAAGGAAGTGTGGGAGTAAAGGAACTGATTAGTCATCTGCAATAAGACAAACCTAGACAGGAACTACAACTCCCACAATCCTCCAGAGACTCTAGTCTGAGTCCTGAACAGCAGCCCTGGCTTCCTGTTGTGTGTTGGGTAGTTGTGTGTTTCTTGTCTTAGATTAGATATGGGTGTTGGTCAGATTAAAACCAGGTGAGGGTGCAGAACACGATGCGTTCAGGTGCAGTCAGGTCGAATCACACTCACGCAGACACTCGTTGGCGTTATCAGCCGTGGCTCTCCTCCAGGGCCGGTCGTTGTAGAACGGTTTGCAGACGTTACAGTCGACGCCCTCCGTGTTGTGTTTACAGTTACACACCAACCGCCCGCCGCTGCTCCTCACACACTCACTGGCATGGCCGTTACACTTACACCTGAGGAGACAAACACACCTGTTACACCTAAGGACACACCTGTTACACCTGAAAACACCTGTTACACCTGAGGACACACCTGTTACACCTGAAAACACCTGTTACACCTGAGGACACACCTGTTACACCTGAAAACACCTGTTACACCTGAGTACACACCTGTTACACCTGAGAACACACCTGAGTACACACCTGTTACACCTGAGAACACACCTGTTATACCTGAGAACACACCTGAGGACACACCTGTTATACCTGAGGACACACCTGAGGACACACCTGTTACACCTGAGGACACACATGTTACACCTGAGGACACACCTGAGGACACACCTGTTACACCTGAGGACACACCTGTTATACCTGAGAACACACCTGAGGACACACTTGTTATACCTGAGGACACACCTGAGGACACACCTGTTACACCTGAGGACACACCTGTTACACCTGAGGACACACCTGAGGACACACATGTTACACCTGAGCACACATCTGTTACACCTAAGGACACTCCTGAGGACACACCTGTTACACTTGAGGACACACCTGTTACACCTGAGGATACACCTGAGGACACACCTGCTAAACCTGAGGACACACCTGTTATACCTGAGAACACACCTAAGGACACACCTGTTTTACCTGAGGACACACCTGTTACACCTGAGGACACACCTGTTATACCTGAGGACACACCTGTTATACCTGAGAACACACCTAAGGACACACCTGTTATACCTGAGGACACATCTGTTACACCTGAGGACACACCTGTTACACCTGAGGACACACCTGTTACACCTGAGCACACATCTGTTACACCTAAGGACACTCCTGAGGACACACCT